GGGGGGGAGGGGGCAGCGAACGGCGCTGTAACGGGAAAGGGGAAGGGAGGCGCCTGCTCGGAGGTTTGGGAGGCCGGAGGGGGGTAAACGAAGTACACTTACGGGCACTAGGGCCGGAGGAAGAGTGGCGGGGGAGAGGGGGACAGAGAAATGCGTTACTGAAGTTTGAAAAATTTTCTTTATTGTTGTAAGACTTGCCGCCTCAATATCGGTGGTACAGGTGAAATACATTGAAGGTAAAGTCAATAGGACAATAAAAGTTCAATGATAAGTAATAAAAACAGTAATATGAAGTAATTGGGCTCTAGGGGTGCCATGAAGCTGAAAATAGTGAATGTAAAATTTCAAATTTCACAGTAAATGTATAGATAACTTGTTCCACTAGAATAAAATGATAACATTAAGAGAGTAATAACATATGTAAAATACATAAAAATTCTTTAATAAATCATTACACCAAAGCAAAAAATGCTCTCAGTTCACTAGTGTGGACAACCTAGGAACAGTATCAAGAACTAAACCTCTACAAAATAAGTGGTTTTACCCAAAAATCATTAAAGCGAAGATGTATTGAAAAGATCAGACAGTCATAATATGCGATGAGTCCCATAAAAATATATAGATGAGGGAATTCCCTCTATTTTTTTTGCAAATGAAGGTGAGTAACCTTGCTGACTTTCAAGGTATTATTTTTTGTATTTTTTTTTGCTGTAGTAGCCTTTGCATCCTATCTGATCGATTTCTATCAATCAATTTCTGAAAAGGCTATTAACAAAGATTTTAACTAGTACTTAATAAATCAAACAGTTCTCAGTGATTTGTAAACCAGTCAGTTCTGAGGAAATTAAAATGATAAAATTCAGTGAATAATAGTGAATATTTTATCACAGTGGTAATTGTATCATAAAAGTCAATAAGATATCTAGTGTATGTACTTTTAAAAAGTTAGACAAGCCATCCTTCAATAGAACCACAAAAAATTCTTTTCAAAATCAGTCTCAATCAGTCCACATAAGCATATGATGCCTTTTCATACACAAAGCAGGCTATAAAATTTAACGCTAGGAACTAAGATTCAACACAGGTATGGTTAAAATAACAAGATATAATACCTATTATTTGTGTAGAGTGTAAAATTTACAGGTGTGTGCAGAAGACACAAAGCTTCTAGGGGGGGGGCACAAAGAAAACAACAACGGGAGGAAAAAAGGGGGTAGCTATGACTGAATTCGGAATATATCTATTAACTACTTAAACCACACAAATTTAACTTCTTTTGAGTGGCCACAAGGGATCAATCTCACTGAATGGATCAGTAGAATTTGATTCATGTTTCGAAAGATGCTCTTGACTAGCTTTCTTAAAGTTCTCAGCAGAAGATTTTGATTCCTTAGAAGCATTGCCTTTATTCAGTAGAGATAAATCAGTAAGATGAGAGTTGGGGGTGAGTTCAGCCTTCTCAGTAGACATTAAAGACAAAATTGCCTCATTTTGAAATTCTTTTGTTCCATTGCTGTCACTCTGGTTTTGAACACCTGAAAAAAGACATTTATATTACAAGTAAATCAAAAGTCAAGACATACAAACAAAATCAGATTTTGTGAAAAGAATTGCTAGGGTGTTTTGATATCATTAAGTGAACAGCAAAGTCACAATGACATTTTGTTGCAGTGCGGTGATGTTAAAAGCTGGAAGTAGCAAGTCCATGATGGAGATCAGCAAAGCAAATTAAATGCGCTACCTAACCCCATTTTCTCAATTCCTGACTGAAGTTGACTCAGACCAGTAGGGGGCCCGAGAAGAAAATCTTGGGAGGGATGACGGGTGTGACATTTTCCATCAGACCGGCTCCGTTTGTCCTCAAAACTGGATCCACTAGTCAAGATCCCGCCTGAGAAAAAATTGCGAGCACAGTTATTTTAAGTGAGATTACAGCAAAATTAAATCCCACATTTGTTTTCTTGTTAATTAAAGCATTGTGCAGCCCAAAGAAAAGCAATGACAAAGATGAAAAGGCTTTGATTACACTTACATTTCATTAATATATCTTGAGCATAGTAAAGTACTGAAAGATAAGCAAATTTCAAATGTTCTCTGTCTCTTAAGGCAGCCTTCCTTCGCTCACTCATTGCAGCAGTTAACTTGACAATATCAATCAGTCCACGTCCAGCTTGAACTTCACAAATAGCTGCTGCTGTTAAACAGAAGAGACCAGTTCTCCCAACGCCAGACAAGCAATGAACAACAAGAGGATGTGATGCCACTCGTTGTTGACTATAGAATGTGAGACATTCTGAGACAAATGACAGAAAAGGTCCTGGAGATGCAGGAAAAGAACTGAAAACAGGATCAAAGAATGCAAAATTAAACTTTGAAGAAAAAAAATATTCCAACAGAATTCTTGATTAGGTATGTACAAGCAATTAAGAGAAAACTAAATATATACCTTCCAGGCCATGCAGTGAATTGAAAATGAACAACAATTCGAGAAACTCTTGTTTCTGCATCGCTCACAGAAATTATTCTTTCTGTCCAGTGTTGTTTGATGTTAGCAGTTTGCAAACTCAGACGCATTCGTCCAACTGACATTTCTTGGTTTTTTTCAACAGGCCAATAACATTGCCCCTCAAGCTAAAAAAAATTTAAATAGCGGTTTATAATAACATAATATGTGATGAACTTCATTTCAATGAGTAGTTGACAGTAAAAACCACTCACCTCAAAATCGCTCAGCAAGCAAACAATCACTTCTACTTGTTGCTCATAGACCATTATCCAAAAGTCATTAAATGTTGAAGGAAGTGGTAACTGAGTCAGAATGAAAGAAGGTGTTGATGGAGTCAAGTCCTTCATGTGAGAAGCATTTATATAATCATCCTTGGTGGAGGGCAACTCAATCCGTGAGCAGTCGTAAGGGAGAATGTCAGAGAAACGATTCTTCATAGGATAACATCTAGCAACTGAAATACTCCTGCGGTGAGAGTCTTTTTCCTGTCACAAAAAAATAAAATAAAAGGGATAGAGCATTATAATATACATCCCAAGTGGACCACATGAGTCATTCTTTTTTTCTACATAAAAGACCTACACTTATTGTTTGCTCAAATAAAATGGGTTCCTTACAAACTAAATGAAAAAGAACTGACTATGGCCACTACGTAATACTAATATCTGATACAGAAATGTGAAAAAAATTAAGAAATATTTTCAAACCTGCAGTTCATTTATCTCTTTCCATTTTATGTCAAGAGGTGTAGGACCATTCAATGTTTTAAGTGTCAGCCCCTCAACAAATTTTTCATATTTTTCAACATCTTGAGTAAATTGATTCAGGTAATCTTGGTCCTGGAAAGGGTCCTTTACAGGTAACTTGGGATTTGGAGTTTTACTTGTTTGTTCGGTTGGAATCTAAAAAGATTAAAACTGTAAGCAATTGCTTGAAATACTGAAATTTATGTTACAGTTTTATTTCCATTTTTGTTGTCTTACCTGTAAAATACTCATTGATTCAACAAGTGTGTCAGTACTGGTGTCTGGTCCATGGTTTGCTGAGATTAAATTTTGCTCTTGATCATTTCTCTCCAATGAACCTCCAGTGCTAGAGGGAAATGAAGATATGGATTCTTTAACTGAGTGGGGAGTGATTTTTCCAGATTCAGGCACTAAAGGTTGTTGGTTGATAGAAAAATCTAGCCCTGCCAATAAATCAACATTGGATGAAGAGGCATTTTCGGTGTGAGAACTTCTTGATGCTTGTGGACTGTTGGTAGTGTAGGAATCAGACTTTGGCATGCGCGCTTGCATGTACATTCCCTGGGAGTTGTAATCCTGCTGACCAGTCGTGAACGACTCACTCTCTACAGCAGCTTCACTGTTATTATTTAGAGCACCATATGGCGGTACTTGATAATAGTTTCCAGTGGCGGATGCTGTACTTGAGTTGTAACCATAAGATTGCACATGAGAGGAATAACTTGAAGATGTTTGATTGGTTGGGTAGGATCCAGCACTGGAATAGAGTGATGAGTTTTGGTTATACTGATATTGGAAAGAGTTGCTGGACCCTGGCATTTGATAGCCTGCATATGCTGGGTCAGCACTGAGAGGGCTTTGAGCACTTGCCGGCCAACTACCCTGGTAATGTTGGTCGTACGAATACACATTTCCTTGACTAGCTGCCGTTGCAGAGGGATTATTAATATTTTGATAGTTGGCTAATGCTTGTTGACCGTACGCATCAGGGGTTTGAGCAAAGTGGTTTGCATATGGGTTAGAATTGGTGCTTTGAGCAACACCAGCTATGCTGTTGTAGGCTGTAGAGGAGGTAGCAACTTGATCAGAAGGTTGACTTGAATATTGATGATTTAGACTTGTATTCTGAATAGCACCAGACAAATAAACTGAGTTCCCCGGTTGTTCAGATGGCTGATTTAAATACTGATTAATACCAGTACCTGGCACAGCAGCAGACATACTGCTGTATGCTGGAGGTACAGTCTGATCTCCAACATTTTGGTACCCAGATGGAACAGAGGCTGCAGTATTCTCATAGTAAGTTGAATTTTGAAAATTTGCTGGCACACTATGGGCATTGTATTGGTGGCCAGATGCAGCACCAACTGCAGGATGGTATGCTTCGTACTGATAGCTGGATGTTGGAATAATATTTCCTTGCATATGATTCACAGGTGATGTTGCACTCTTCGCACTTTCAAGAATTGAAAGAGTGTTAGCTTGAGGTACAGTATTTAATGATCCAAGAGACTCATTAGAGCCACTCTGATAAGAAGCTCCACCAACAGGAGTATATCGATGTCCTTGATCTGTGTTATAGGTGGTTAGCTGGTGAGCTGGCTGAACAACTTGCATGTCACTGGGTTTCATATCCACAGAATACTGAACATTTGTAGGCAAATATGTACTCATAGTAGCAGCTTGACTTCCATAGCCCCACATTCCGGCATAGTTATATACTTGCTGAGAGTAAGCAGGAACAGTTGGTGCTTGAGCTGCATAGGGAACACTTGTCATGTCGTGAGGTTCTGATTTTATTACCGATGATGTAGCTTCAGAACCCAAGGGTGCTGGCCTCACACCAGGCATCCAATTTTGTGGTTTACCATCAACAGGCACCTTAGAAAGGCCTGATGTTGCTCCAACAGTTGAGTCATAATAAGATGAAGATGAAACAACTGGTATCTGTCCATATAATCCAGCAGCAGAATATGCAGAGGGAACCGCTTCAGAGTTCAAGAAAGTATTGTTCGCTCTATTTAAACCTCCATCAGCATTTAAAAAGTCCTTGAGTTTGGGTGCAGAAGTGGTTTTAGAAAAGTTACCAGGAACATCTGGTGTATTTGCTCCTTTCCTTGGTGTCTTTGAAGGCAATACAGTATTGTTTTTTATCAGCATCTGCTCTCTTTCTTCTTGTTGAACTCGGCATGTGCTCTTAACACGCCCTAGTAGCTTGCTCACATTTGTTTCCAAAATATTGTAAAACTCATGACCTTTTGCAGATTTGGCCAAAAGATCTTCGTATGCATCAAAGCACGATATAAGGGCATTGATAACCGATTGTCTTTTTCGTACTACTTCAGCAGTGGCCTTTCGGACATTGCTATAGCGTGCATAAGCATCCGTTACAGCTTTCAAAATATTGTCCTGTGCTGTGAGGTTTTGCTGAATCAATTTCACCTAAAACAAACAAAATTAAGGAATTATAATCACAGGAACAGCAAGAAAGAAAACTAGATAGAAAATGTTATCCTATGACACCCACAATGTCTTGGTGTTTCTTCAGTTCATCTTGAAATAAATTGTCTACATTTTCGTTTTGGTTTGTAACAAGGCGCTGGGTGATGTCATCTTTACAAATCGAGTCACGAAGTTGAGATGTTAGCATGGAACGCTGAGACCGCATTTCTTCCACCTTCTCCATCAGATTTTGCATTTCTCTCACAATTTTTCCACTATCTGCGTCTACAAGAAAACAGTGACATTTAATGACAAGTGGTGCACTGTATTTTGAAAGACAAATTTCACACACAGTACCAGAGAGTGTGGGTGGTGGTGGTATTTGTTGTTGCAGCTGTGATAGAGGTAAGGAAAGAATGCGGAGGTTGCTTATATGGGTAGACATAACCTTGTGAAGGGCTTCATTTGATTCATTAGCTCTTGCATGTGCTTCTTGATACTTAGTGGCTTCTCTAGTTAAGTCTGTAGCCACTATGGAAGGAGGTCTTTTGCCCATAATTGCTTGGTAGTCTCTCTCTAAAATCTCTTCCTCCTAGTGATGGAAATGAAATTTGATAGATAGAAAAAACACTGTCTCTCCTGAACAACATGAAAGCACTATTAAAATTATTACACAATACCTGCAACATGGTTTTGATTTCTTGGAGCATTGTTTCCACTTCTGTACAAACTTCAGAAAGCTTTGACATGGATTCCGTTAAGCTTTGAATGGCATTTGGTTTAGCACTAAGGGCTGCACAACGATCCACCAATTCCTAAAAAGAAAAAACATTTTGAAGAAAAAAACTTCCTTTATTACTATTTCAAAGTAGAAAGGCGGATAAAAAGCCTGAGCCTAGCATTGGGCTCTGAGTCTGGAAAGAAAAATTGCATGAAAATGTAATGGGATATACCTGTGGCAACTGATTAGGTTCAGAATAGCAATGAAGATAATCTAGCTGCAGAGATGACAGGAATGCTGTAAGAAGCTGGTCTTTTTCTTCAATGGAGCCACCAACCTTACGCAGTAACTTAGCCTTTTCTTCACTGGAATTTTTACAAAATATTCAATTTAGTTTTAAAGAGAATTTAAGGCATTGGTATTGTGTCACTAATGAGAATTAGAATTAAATTTATTTACCTGTAAAGCGATGAAGCTTCATGTGCTTTCATAGGCACCAATCTTCCAAATATATCTGGCCCAGACACTTCAGAATCATTTATGCTGAAAGGTATTCCCTTCACAAGAGAAACACCCATCGCCTTGGGTAGTTGATCACGATCAGGCACTTCTTCATGGTAGATAAATTCATTTTCATTCTTAGCAGCTTTTCTCTTGCCTTCCACAACATCCTGAGTGAAGCTTAGAGACTCTTGTACCTGCTTTGGGTTCATCTAGAATAATAGACAATAGACAGATCATCAATGAAAAAGGGGAAAAAAAATAACTTCCGGTAATAGACAAAGACTTGTTTACACACCTCTCCCTTGTCAAGATTTTTGGAGAGTTTGATTGCTTCCTCTAGTGTGTCATGAGCCAACTGATAAAAAGCAACTCTTTCACCCATTTTTTGCTGTTCCTCTGCTTGCATGCCTTGGAAAAGTTGAATCACACAGCGATAATAAATCTCTTTAAACTTGGCCAATCTTCTCCAGCTCTTCGAAAATAAGAGAATGAAAGAAATTAGATAACATTCTTAGTGCAAACATGCAACTGAAAGTAAATAATATATAGATGTAACTTTACTGTATAGACTTTGGTTCCAACAGCTTCTTCAGAAACGGATTGCTTTAATGCATTGAAAGCTTGACTGTAGTAGTTGACAACTTGTACAGCAACTTTCACTAAAAAAAATATACAGTGCATATAGTCATTAGTAGATATTTGTATGTGTTTTTGATTCACTGCGCACACAGAGGTGAACACATGTAGTCTCACATACATGCCACCTCCCAAGGGACTCTGAATTAATTAATAGTCAATTAATAGGCATTCATACAAGCCTGAAAACCTAGTCACCCACCGATAATTGATGCTTTCCGGTTATCCATCATACTTTTCTCCAGAATGCACTCTTGGGCTTGAGCAAGACACAAATGATAGGCAAACTGCATGATATCAGGAGCAATATCAGCTTCACTTGAAGGAGGATACGAATCTTTTAAATGCTGTGATGACAATGACAAGCATGATATTAAATGTACACTTGTTTCGGTATGAATTATTAATTTTTTTTTAGAAATAATGTTGAGTACCTGGAAGGCCCAGGCAGCACATTGAAAGTGGGTGCAGGCCATCTTCATGCCATCTTCTGTTGTTCGGGTATCTGACATACCTAACTGAGTATGCAGTGCGCCAATATTGTACAAAATTGACGATATTTCATATCGAATGTCAGCTACTGAAAATGAAACTCCAACATAGGTGTCTCGCCTAAAAAAGAAACACACGGAAAAAACAGGATTTATCAATAATTATGAAGATTTTACATTAGAAAATTAACCACAACATTGAAAAGGCTGCTCACCAGCTAAACTGCACAGCTGCAGCCCCATCTTTGGTCATAGGGAAACGACTCATAAGGAAATGAAGCTGGCAGTAATATCGCTTAAGATTTGCTACACCAGAAACATCTCTTCCAGGTCGTACAGCAGCAGCTCGCAAAGAATCAAGCTGATTAATTTCATGTGAATAGGTTTCAGGATCTTCATTGTAGAAATCCCGGATGTACTGGAAGTACAAGAAATAGGATATCATTACTAATAGTAAGATGAACTTTGTAGTTTTACACTGACAGCCCAGGCGGGCCGGGTTTCAAACAAATAAACAGGTTAGTCGACCAACACATTCTTGGTATAAACTGATACAGACAAAACTTGATGAAGTGCACAATCTAATAAAGAAGTAGAACGATAATTTTATTCAAATCAGTACCTAAAACACGATCCAAAGGCAATTAAAGAAAAGCAGTGCATCGGTATGTATGACGGCAAGATAAACTACTCACCTCTTTGAGTTTGGGTCCAAAATTTGTGGTTTCAGATTGAGTTCTGAGCTCAAAGCATACCATAGGGAGGCGCGGAACGGCTTCCATGTTTTACCATTGATTTAGCATCTATCAAAAATTTCTTTCAGAACGATATCAGTGATGTTTGTCGTCTTAAAGTGATGATGACATTTGTGAGTCCTAAAAGGTTTGTTATGAGTCAGCTGACAGCTGATATTCCGTCTTAGAAACTGTGCAACACTTAGTCTTACATGAATTTAAATTGAAAATTTGACAGACAATAAGAAAACGAAGAATTTCGTCAGGCCTTGAATATTCAATACTGTACTTTCTTTGGATTGAAAAAACGAGTGGAAAAATATCCTTTTCGTATTCAACAGTTGTCAATTTTGACTAGGCGAGTCTGGAGAACCACTGGTAACGCATAAACTTACTTCTTATGATATTTCAGTACATTTTCAGGGACGAAGAAGAGTATTTTTGATCCAAAACTTATAAGTGCTTTATATGAAAGCCTTTCCTTTCTTTTCTTTGCAAACATCAAATTATTTGCCCTGTTGTTTAGTGTAAATTATCAGTCTTGTGTTGGTGAGCCTGGATTCAAAAACGTCTGCTAGTTATCCTTATCAATCGCTGAAAAGTACTGAATGAAAACAGAAACAACTTGAATGAATGAATGAAATCACTCACACACTCAGGATACCGAACGGACTGCAAGTCAGAAAGAGTATTGAAGATAAGTTTAGAAACCGTCCGGCCAACTGTCTTTAATAATGAAGGATCTAAACTATAAGTTATTCCATGAGAGCTTGACATCAAACAACAATGGGACGACAGCTATTGAAAGTACTCTTGTTATTATACCATCAATCATCAGTGTGTACATTTTAACTCTGATACGTTCTCTCCAGGATTCAAAGAAAGAAACAGTAACAAGATCATATTGGTCACAGTTTTTTCTCGAGTTTTTTATTATTATCATGCCAAGCATTATGTGCTTCACAATTTTGGCCGACCATCTAGTTATAGTCTATGGAGCTCTTTTTCTGATCGGCATTGTATTGCTACTGAAAAATCATGTGCTGAAGACTATGCTCACTTCTTGCTTTGGAGAGATACAATGGAAAACGCATAGAGATATTGTATCTTACAGATCTGATCCACTTCATCGGTCATACATTACCAATTTTCGAGCTATTACGAATATGTTGACAGTTCTATGTATCCTAGCTGTTGATTTTCATATTTTTCCAAGACGTTTTGCCAAGACTGAAACTTTTGGATATGGTGTTATGGATTTTGGCGTTGGATTGTTCATTGTTGGAAACGCTCTTGTTCACCCTGAAGCACAATTTAAAGTTGGGCCAAGGATTTGGAAAACTGCACTTCAATGTATTCCACTGATATTCTTGGGAATAGGACGTTTGATTTTGACCAACCAAGTTGAGTACCACGAACATGTTACAGAGTATGGTCAACACTGGAATTTTTTCTTCACATTAGCGGTAACAAAATTAGCATGCTCAATTATCCTGAAAACTGTTAAAGGTAGCACAAACGTCTACTTTTTTTTCACCATTCTAATGATTTGCTCGTATGAGACAGTGTTGCAATGTGGTCTTCAAAAATGGATTTTGGGTAATGCACCTCGACTTGACTTGGTGTCAGCTAATCGAGAAGGCCTTGCATCAATTGTTGGATATGTTGCCTTGTATTTTGGAGGGGTATCGCTTGGCAGAATTTTAAGGAGGTTTGATACTCTAAATCCAGTAAAAAATTTAAGACTAGCAAAAATATTGGTCAGTATTTCAACAATTTGCTGGATTGTGACCTATACATGTGATAAAACTTTTGGGATCTCCAGGAGATTAGCAAACTGTGGATACTTATTTTGGATGATCTCATTTACAACAACTGTTTTAGCATGTTTACTTGTTATTGAATGTTTTTCTCTCTATCTAAAATATGTGAATGTATTTTCCAAAAGAAGTCAACCTAATCCAAATGTTGCATTTGTGCCAAATCTCCTTGCAGCTATCAACTTTAACGGGCTTACTTTTTTCTTACTTGCAAATTTGTTTACAGGCATAATAAACCTGAAGTTGAAAACGTTCAACCTCAACCCTGTTACTAGTCTAATAATTCTTATTCTTTATATGCTTTTGAATTGTATGACTGTTTCAGTTTTGCACCATAAAAAAATAAAGCTACTGTAATTCTACAATGTAGAATTTGCATTACTATTTTTAATTTTTTATTAGTAATACAATTGCACTGATTTGAAGCCACTTGAAAACACATCCAACGCGGATGTAGCCCTCGCAATTTAAAATAGTACATCAAAACTACAACAGTTGCATTAAGTCCAACTTCAAAATAAATACTGAATTGCAAATCACAGATAACTTGTATTGCACAAAGATTTTTCAAAAATTTGTTCCAAAAATAGTAAACATTTTACCAAAAGAAAAGTGCCTTCTAAATACTAGAAAATGTTGGCAGGTCTTTTAGATACTACTGTCACTAAGCACAGGTAACAATTATAATTACCGGTTAATATCAAAATGGTACAACTCTTAAAATGCCTAATCTACTTTTTAAAAGGATTCAAAAATTATTAATTTAAAAAAGAAGTTGTTTCCTCATTTTAGGAAACATCATTAATCACAACTAATTCAGATCTAATTACTCAATGTAAGAAAAAACTCCTCCATCAGAGTAACAATCTCAGATATATGGAACACAAAATTAAATTGAGATTCAAGGTACAGACCTAAAATGCACATTACAGTTTACAAGATAAAGTAGTACACACAATAAAAAGTAGTACTAGTAGCAAAAGGTTACAATTCACTGTGCAGACTTTGCTCATCACTTTCTCCGTTAAAAGTTAAGAATTCTTGGAATGCTGGATGTTTCTGAACATGATCAGCAGCTCTTTTCACTATTGCTTCAACTTCTTCTACATCAAAATGGTAATTGGTGAATTTGGCATGAGCACCCATATCTGGATGATGACCCTGAAGAAATAAATAACAAATAGTTATCAGCCTATGGAAAATTTCCTTCACGAATTTTGAAAAAATGAATGCACTACTTACCTCATCTTCTTTGTGAACTTTTCCTGGATCCTCCCATGTAAAATATTTAACACCCCGAAGACGTGCCAAATCCTTGTAGCAGTTTTCATCCTCACAATTGTGTCTAGACAGAGAGTACAAGCGTAAATAGTAAGGACCATTTCTAAGAAGCAATAATTCCACACATTTGAAAGATAGACCTACAACTCAAAAACTGCAGCCCAATCTGGAAGGAATAACAAGTGAGTTAAACCTGAGCCATGCATTCCAATAAATATGTCACTGTTGTGTGTGATTTCAAGTTGTTCAACAAATGACATTTGGTGAGAGTATGAAACCTACAAAAGAGAAAAGAAAAAAAAATAGTTTATGAATATTGCTGTTTTACCAGCACATAATACCATTAAAAGTAGATGCTTATGATTTCACCTTTTTAACAACATAATTTGGATTATCTTCAAGTTGTTTTAATAACTCATCCTCATTTAAAATACGTCTGTATTTTGTTTGACGAGAGAGGAGGGTAACATGAACTTTGTTGTTCCTTCTTTTATGCATAGGGATCCTTAAACGATGAAGAATATGTTTTGAAAATGCGTGAAATAATCCACTGCTTTCACAGCCATGAACCTAATGCAGTTACAGAAATACAAGGTGACAGTAACATGGATACTTATGGGTCAGGAACAGATAGTTTACATAGATACAAACCACAGGTGTATTGTAGAAGAGACCAAATATCATACGAGGAAGAAGTGGAAAAACTACATTACGGAAGCAAACAGTTTCACCTCGAAAGGTCTTTAGGTCCCACACAGGATGTTTGGTAAAAGTCTCCATAACTGGGGCAAAGTTTGACAAGTAGGTATAGCTCTCCCAAATAAGAATGTGGACATCACGAGTAAACATGTCAGGATGGGAGGAATTCAGGTGCAGTGCAGCATACAAGTTGAAGAAATCACAAAAATGATGGTACATGTTGACAGCTTAAACAAGCAAAACATCACACATTTAAATAATTTTTACAAAAAATAACTCTGAATTTTTAGTCATAATGGAAACCTTACTAGCATCTATTTTGAGGATAAATGTTGGCTTTTCAACTATGACATCGCAGTTGTGGTTTTCTATTGGACGATTTGGCAGTTCAACAAAATTTTTAAGTTCTGGTCCCCATGATTGCAACGGACTTATATGATCACATTGGTCTAATAGCCGTTTTTCGTGTAATCTGAGCAGCAAATAAAATGAATGAAAGTTGAAATGAAATGAAAAGTGCTTGAGAATTGGCAATTGATGGGATATTCATGCTTACTTGCAATGCCCCCCGATTTGGCCATGCTTCAGAACATCCATGGCATATCGCATTGGTTCTTTTCTTGTTGCCAAATCTGTGAAATTTAACATTAAATTTCGTCCTCTGCAAAATTTTAGGTGGTCAGCACATTCTAATGAAGAATCATCCTATCACAAAAATATTACATTTTACTCAAACAAGTAATAGAATTGTGTATCAATTTAGCTGAGAAGGACTTACTTTGAATAAAGGTTCACACATGATTTGCATTTCACGATCCCTCTGACGAACATAGCCGAAATCAGCTTCTTCATAAAAGCGGTTCACAAGTTCTTCAGTTGATTTGGTCCAACCTTTGCTATCACCATTGCAGACAGGTAACGAATAAGAATATTGCTTATCACAGCTTTGCTCATATCCCCAACATCTATTTTTACCAATATCATCCTAAGAGTAGAATGGACAAAAATTAAAAATATGCGTGATTGATGAAGCACCAATAAAAATAATAATTTAAATGGAGCAGACTTAAATATTTTTTAATGAAACTCACTTTATAAGGACATTCATCATCATTTGTACACAGTGCAGCAATTTCAGGGAAATTAGAAAAGTAAAATGGCATGTGCTCCTTGGGAATATCAACATTAGAAAAGTTAACGGCAGTTTGTGCTACAATAAAGAAGTAACTAAGAATTGCAATTGGTAATGGTTGGAAAAAATGAATCATTGTCTGAAACAGAAATAAACAGCAAAAGTAAATTAATCTGAAAAATTGTAATTTCAAGTGTGACAAGAAGCTTTGAATTCCAACTGACCAAGTGAATGTTAACCTATGTTTTATGTGAATAACATTAAATCACTAGCACACCTGTCGATTGTCATGAACAGATCTCTAGGTAGAAATCACAAGCAAGAAATTCTAGTGACGGATGAAGTTGACGCAATTGAAAAATATAATCTGAACATTTGCAAAACCTTGAATGTCATATTGAAACTGCATGTCTTCAAGTGAATTAGGATCCACATACGTGAATATTTACAAGCGTTGCCAAGGGGCAACGGAACCATGGAACCAACGGAACGACGGAAGCATAGTTCGTCTCCGCAAAAGTGCTTGTAAGTTTTGGTTTTTCTAAAGTATACTACACGATCCTTGGAGGATTATTCGCAGAAGGTACTCGCGGTCTATTTGTAACCGTGGAAGTCCTTCGGCACGTCTTGCGACGCCCTAGACTGCATATTTCTTCTCTTTTTTTGGCAACGGTTAGCTAACTAATAACAAAATAACTAAAGTTTCACCATTAAAAAACACACAAACTTGTTCGCACCCGTCTGGCATCCTTAAAAGGTTTGAATTCAGACAAATCTCCATAAGACTTGTTGCTATGGTAACAGTATCCTTGAAATGCCTGGGTAGCATCTTGCTGTGTGGTTTTCAATCACATCAGTGCAGCAAGCATTGTAAACTGTCTAATCTGCTTATTGTAAAAAAAATATGACTGACTTTAATTGCGATATACGAAAGCTCGCAGAGATCCTTAAAACTGAAGACGGCAGCTCTGATAGTGATGACGATCTACCTGGGATGTCCAAGATTGGTAAGTCCTGTTCATCCTTGCTGGCTGAAATGACTACAAACACGAACTGAGCAAATGCTGTCATTTTTAAACAGGACCTGGAGACATTGGAAAAACTAGAAGACATAGTGTTGGAATACATAGACCAGCAGCTGGTGACACCCTACAAACTAGTAAACCCACTGACCCTGACGCTATCTGGACTGCTGATGAAGTTATAGATCAGCCTACTGGTGAAGAGTGCTTTGATCCTAGAGAACAGCCTGAATATGAAATAAAATATCAACAGGCAGTTCGTCCAGAAGATGTGTTTTTACAGGTTGGAGAGCATTACACAATAATGTAGTAGCTTCTTTCTCTTTTGTAAAAATTGTCATAATTTTTTTTTGTGGTAGATGAATGGAAAGACAGCTTCAACAGCAAGCTGTGAAAACATAATCATTCTAATCTTTCTGAAGGGAGAAACAAAGAGTGCAGTTGACCTGACCATAACAAGTTCAGCACTTGATATTAGGTCACCGCTTTACAGACTCCACCTTCATCTACCGCATCCTGTTGATGGGGAAAAGGGTAAAGCAGAGTGGGATGACAAAACAGAAATTCTGAAAGTAACACTACAAATGGTTCGAGAATTTGACTTCCTAAATTTTTAGTAGTCATAAATGACTCAGAAGTACCAAAGTATTTGTTTTCTTCTTTATTATATTAACCATGTGTTTGTACAAATAAAATAGTTTAATCTTCACCTCTGTTGCTACTGTAACTGTACATCTCATATAAATGAAAATTAAATCATTCACACCTGTATTTAATTATCAATATTGCTCAGTATATTAAAGATGACAGTCTCATTGATTTTGATTGAGGACAGTGACAAACAATTGTTTGCAATGCAATGCAACATATATCTTCCAAATACATAATGGATCCCACCTGTCCAATTAAACAATCTTACAATACCAGTAAGAGTGGGGGAAACAAAATTACAGGAAGAGTCTTATTGTGACCACTGAAGGTCAGAAATGAGAGCAATGTGATCTGATGGAAACACAACATTTGGTAAAGCTGTGTATTTTTTAATCTCCTCCTCGGGATAGAGGGGGAAAACCTGCAGAAACGTCCATTGCCATTATAACATTTTGGTATAATCATAGTTACCGACAAGAAGACCATGCCAGAAGACTTACCTCTTTAACAAATAAGCTGTCAGTTTGGTAGTATATGTAATCCAAACACCCAGAAAATCCAACAGTGTAGTTTGTGAATGGAGGAGTACCACAAGCACTATCCATTTTGAATGGCTGAGTAAGTGAGAGACCACATATCTTCTCATTTTCATCTGGAAGGTTTGTTAGTTATATGTATCAGGGAGTCAAATTAAAACTATGTAAGCTGATCTTCAGAAAGGTCAAATATGTATTAGTTGACAAGAAAGGTGACTTACTACTCTTCCAATCCTCTAAATTATCTGGGGCAGACCCAGTAGTCATCAGCTGGTAAACACCACAGTCTGGGGTGCTATTGAAATCCCCACAAAATATAACAGAAACTTCAGCCGTAGGGTACTAAAGGAATTAGAAAACAGTGTAAGCAGAGTGATGAATATGAATATTCCATTCAATTGTGTTCGTCTATAAGCCAGACAACTTACTTCTTCTTTCACTTTCTCGACAACCTCTTCAATAAACTTAATTGATTGACCACCCTGAAGAAGTCTGACATGATCAGCATCAGGATGAAAATATTGATGTGTGTTACCAATGACGAGCCATTTTTGTGGGTTTTCTAAACTCTGAGCAACAGTTGCCTGAAATACCACATTAAAAAAAAATGAATTTTTTTTTTCACATTAAAAAAAAATGAATTTTTTTTTTCATGTCTAGAGAATAAATATAAGACTAGCACACACCTGTGAGGTAGTTGATCTGTCTTTCAAACGGTCTATCAAAGGTTTATTGTTTTTCACAGAATTCCATATACTGCTGTAGCATGAACGCTCACTAAGCTCAGCACCCAGAAGAGAAACATGAGTTTCCATCATTCTGTTAAACAACAAACATTATGTTAAGAGACCTTTGAGTTTTGAACAAAATACAGTTGCTGAAGTGTCAAGTTACCTGAAACGTTTGGTATTTAAAAAACAAGCAAGGCCTTCCCGGACACTACCTTTCCTATTGAAAACACCAGTGAATCCTTCTAATGAAAGAATAGGCAATAGATCAGCATCAAAGACGCTTTCATCAACTTCTTGAAGGCATATAATATCAGCATTGTAGCCTAGAAATAAACAAAACAAAAATTAGGTAAATTTTCTTCTTGTATCCAGTAGTGAAAACTAAATACATGCCCAGGACGTTTGCCTACCTAAAATTTCTTTTATAAATAACTGTTTTCTGTAATCAATATCCAATGCATAAGGTGGACAGTGACCAAACAGATCATTTTTGGCAGTATCTGTGTCAGAATACATGCCTGCCAAAATATTGTAGGTCATCACTCGAAAGCTAGAGAAAAGGTCCCAAATTATTGTGATGTCATAATGCAATATAAAAGTGTTTGTAAACCACATAGACAAGGCAGACAAGGAAGCCAACCTATCTCCAACAGCTCTCTCTTTGGTGAATGCATGTCTAAGTTCAAAAGGGCATTCTCCAGGCCCAGCTTCAACAGGTGCTTTTGAAACTGCTTCCACTACGGGGCCACATATCATTTCTCTACGGGGATGGCATGAAACCTACAGAGGAAACAAGTTAACAAACAAAATGGTTGTAAATATCTCACTGCATATAATTTACTTCGTAAAGTTATCACAATACAAACCTTCAATAAATGACCAATATCTTCAACTGTAGGAGTGTAGCTAAAACCAGAACCGATTTCTTTCCAATCAACAGCAGTCTGAGTTTTTTTATACCAGACAAACAGACTATCCATTCTGTTCAAGTTAGTACCAACAAATTTGCAAGGATAAACGGGGAAGTTGGAAAGAATACTTCTTGGAAGTTGAATTTCTTCCACCCAAGGTGGATTTATGACAATGTGATATTTCTTTCCACTCAAGGACAGCATTAATAAATCCTTACTCTCCAACAAAGATAAGCAAGTGTCGCCAGATGGCACAGGGTTTCCAGATCGCAACAGTTCTACTGTGACTTGAGGTGGTGGTCCTGTGTCAAAATTTTCGCCACTGTCCTTTTTTTTGGCAGCCTTTCGTCTCCTTTTGGCATGGACTTCATTAACAACTTTTTCAACATTACACTGGATTCGAGTCAGGAAAGTACTGACAGTTTCAACGGACTGACGATTAAGATTAAATTTCCTGTTGACACCGAGGCCATCATTGACATAATGGAAAGTGAATGTAAATCTTTCAGATCCACTTGGATGGGAAATGTACGCATTTTGCATCTCAGCCATTGTGGAGAGTCTGTATCTTTGAAATAGCTGTGGTCTAGCTGGATAAATTCTTGACAGAAGAAATCGGTGCAAAACCATCCCACTAGAATAATTTAAGAAGTACACTCAACAAAAACCTGTAGACAAGAAATAAACAATAAGATATATATAAAAAAAAAAAAAAAAAAAAAAATTGAAATTGAACTTGTAAAATTTATAAGTTACAGGAAATTACCTTGGTGTGTCCATGTAAAACCATAAATCCTCAAAGTCAAATCAACTTCAATTTCATATTCAGTCCATAACCTGCTGAGAAACAATTTACAGTAACCATGACTTCATGTGGCCGCGAGCAAAGACTGAACTGTCAGGTTACTCGAATTGTTGAAGAATATTCTCTTAGTGGCTGGTTATAAATTGCTAGGTGTTGATGCCAAATTAGGTAAACTTGTATGAAAGAAAATCAAAGTTATGATCATCAACACTAACACTATAAAATTTCTCGACCGGCTGGCGTCTGCAGTGGTCTGCAAGCAGACTGGCACGGCATGTCGCTTATATGCACCACAGTCCAAGACTGTAAATAAAGTTCTTCCCTCCCTCTCCCCCTCTCCTTCCTTACCGACTCCTCAACGTCGAGCCCGGTGAGCTTTCCCTCTTCAACTCCTCACCGACTGTGGCTGAACTTGCCCAACTTCAAACACTCCTCTGCGGTACTTGCAGAACTTTGTTGATTTTGCCATAGATACCTAGGCCCGATTTTGCTATGAGGCAACAGAGGTAACCTACCAGCGCCCCATGGCAAAATTAAATTTATAACATTACAAACCTAAATCGCATGTCAGCAAACACGGGCTGTGTCCGTGAATGCAAAATTTGAAATGATGATTGAACGCAGAAGCACCCCAGTCCATCCACCGAACGCGCCTGATGAGTAGGCAACCCATTTAACCCCTCATGCAAACATGAAGTGGCGGCCCAAACACTCCGTTCGAATATTATATATTTCAGAACTTTGATTGCGTGTTAGCAAAGTAGTATAGGAACTGTGGGTAAAATTTTTGTAACACTCACCCACTCACCACAAAGTACAGAACAATAAATTTATTCTACGAGAAGGCACTAATAGCGCTCGCAATAGCGCACGATGTAGCGAGTGCAAGAGCGTGAACAGTCAGTAAGGACCAAAACTAAGCAAACTTCAACGGATATTTTTTCAAAGGGTTAAACACGTTTCTTCCTGTTTCAGTGCGGCCGTGTTGCGCTGCTTAGAGCGGTGGAGCATTGACCGACCGCGGAACCGAATATTGGACTTCCCTGCTCTGTGGATAGCGCCGCATGGGCCAGTGGGAAGACGAAATAGGGAATTATGTCTTTACTAGCAGGCGTTTTGTTTCGTTTTGGTTGATCACGCACCTCCTCCTCCACCCCCACCCCCTCCCTGAAAGCGCAAGTGCGTTGATGCTTGTTGATGCGCACATTAAATGTGCTTAAAAGTTCCCACATTTTTTGGCTCGTTTAGTGGGCATTAATGCGAAGAATGCGAAAGTCATGAGCGTAATGCGGGACCTATTGTGCCTTTTTGCGCAATACCGCGTTTTGTGCGTTACTGGAACTGATTTGCACCCGGCACCAACGATATGTCGAATCCGACAACGTTTACCCTTCAAATTAAAAGAGGGTGGGATGAAGTGGGTAGTATCGAAGAAAAAAGTAGGTGTCATCAAAAATATGGATCGTGAAAGCAGATGATACGTATTTACTGATAAGGTCTTTTTTTATTAAGCATGTGAGGCTGGTAAAAATCGAACACACGCATTCACAAAATGTTGTTTGTATTTATATTCGGCGTTAGGAAATTGCCCGCAGTTACAGTGCGGCCAAAGAAGCTCTTATAGCGCCTGATGGGTAGGCAACATCTCGCCTGCAGTGCACGTGTGTACTGCGGGATGGCCTACCCGGAGTCTCGCGGGCGGGCACCACCAAACTCCTTTACTTTGCCTGAGAAGTGAAAGGACGTACTTTCTGGGCTATGCCTCATGACCCTGCGTTGTGTTGGCGTAGATAGACTCTTTATAGATATAACTGAGGATGCAAGCGGTGCATGAGTCTTGCCAAGTTGGTCCGGGTTCACAGTTTGGCATAAGGCTCAATGCAAATAAAGCGAGTGGTAGAGTAGAGCCCGGAAACTCGGAGACACAAAAATTCGCCCGGCGGGTGCAAAATCGCCCGGTCTGGCAACCCTGCTCCGGAGCGTGGACTCAGCCGTTGCGGCCACCGCGCCGGCCCCAGAGCTTATGTGACCCGGCCCTTGTGGTGTGCTTTTTCGGTGCGGCTCAAATGATGACTTCTCGTGGGCCATCCGGTCCGGGCCATCCTGCTTCCGCATTTACGCGCTGGTCCCCTGCCCCTTAATCCCCCGACCAGGTTAGCGCGGATCAAAAGGTGAACTCCCAAGTGAGTGCACCCAAGTGAGTGCACCCAAGTGAGTGTACGCCGCACACTTGCAGGTGTGTCGATGGTCGATATCGATAGATTTTGTATCTACAGCGGTCGCGTGCGCCGGAGCCGGAGGCCCCGCCCCGCCCT